CAAGAGCGTGAAGGTCAGGAGCTCACAGCCCATCATGTCCAGAAAACCAGTGTCTCTGAAAAAGCCCGAGTTTCTCCTCTTAGCTCTGACCCTGCAGGGTAGACGCCACTGGTACCTGAGAACGCTTCCATTTACCCATGTCCGGAACCGTGTGGATCTCCTTTTTCGGAATGATAAAGCTCTGAGTGGCTGGAGGGGTCTCCTCCGAAGAATCTTGACAAAGAAAACGAAAAAGCAAACAAATAAATAGAAACCCTTCCCAACACACACACACTTTTAAACCAAGATTCCAACACCCAAGCCCCAGTGTAAACCAGACACAGACTCCCAGGACAGAGTATTTAAACCAAACCCTCTGGCCTCCTGACTTTCCTTTCTCTGCAAGGAAAACAAGGTATCAGTTGTTGAGGGAGAAGCCCAGGGGACCTAAGGAGTAGGCTAGGGAACCTGAGATAAGAGCAAAGCAAACCTCTACCTAATCCGAATTCAAACCAGGGCCTAAGAAAGAGACGAGAAACTCTCTTCCTCCTCCCGCCTGTTCTGCAAGCCCTGTTCCCAGGACCCAACATTGAGACCCCCTCCGATTAGTAAATTGCTACTCTAAGATGCTAAATAGAAAGCTTTGTAGGTCAGGCTAGTAACCCAACCACATTGTCTTTATGGGGAAATGTGCTCCACGTTCCAAATAATCAACTTGCAATATTTGGGAACAGAGCCCTTCTGTACATCGGAGAACTATTCCCTGCAAGGGGACAGTCCCCCTGACATTGTTTTACAAAGAGGAAAACCTCCAGGCCAGGCCCTGTCACCAGGGGAAAGGTTACCCTATAGGAAGCATTGCAACAAATCACTGATGCAACACACAAGTTGCCAGAACACAAAATCCCAAGTCAGAAAAGCAAGCCTTCGGACACAGGCCTGAGACAAATGAAGTCAGACCCACAGTCTCTCCAGCCTCAAGGTTCTGCCTCTGACAAAGGGACCACCGGACAGTTGGATCCCCTAAAACCTCTCAGTATAAGATGGAAACATACAAAGTGTTAGAGATGTCCCTAACCGCCCCCCCTCGCCCCGAAAGTGTAATGTAGCATCATCTACCACTTGGGAACCAGTCCACGTGTTCAACTTGTACCACCTTTGAGAAGACCCACAGGAACCCACACTGACTTAACTGCCATGTCCCAGGCGCTGCCCACATCCTCTGTGGACACACACGGCAGCCCTATGCAGGCGTAGCCTCAGGTTTAAGAACTAAGGGAACCGGCTCACAGGGGCTGGGACTTGCCTGCAGAGCGAGGTCTGGGTACCTCCAGAAGCCCAGGTGTTCACACTACACCGAGGGAAGGAGTTCACTCCGCTTGTCCCAAAACGCCCCACTTCAAACTTCCGAGAAGGGCCACACGCCCGGAGCCTGGGTCCTCAGCCATGGCTGCCCTCCCGGGCCTTCACCTCGTTCACGCACAGGTTCTCTCCCTCACCCACCACCCGTCTTCAGGGACACATCTCACGGGGAATTCTTATTGAGAATGTCTTCTATCTCCCGATGCCATTACCAGAACTTCTGAGGCAGCTGGAGGGGGGCGAGGGGGGGGGGCGGCGGGGGGGACACTCAGCCGGGGGACCATATAAGGTCCCGGAAATCATTTGGTCCGGCCCTGCCTAGCCATCAGGGGTGAGTTAATTAAATGTTTGGCCACACAGAGCAGGCTAATTTTGAAGCTGATTAGTGTGTATGGCCCCTATCAGTGGTTCTCAACCTTCTGGCCCTTTAAATACAGTTCCTCATGTTGTGACCCAACCATAAAATTATTTTCGTTGCTACTTCATAACTGTCATGTTGCTACTGTTATGAATCGTCATGTAAATGCCTGATATGCAGGATGGTCTCAGGCGACCCCTGTGAAAGGGTCATTCGACCGCCAAAGGGGTCGCGACCCACAGGTTGAGAACCGCTGCCTTAAATGATGTTCTAAACATCCAATGGCCCGCAGCAGGAAAAAGGTTCCCCACCCGTTCTAAGGGCACACGCACAGAAGTTTTGTGTTAAACAAAGTAATGTCTGGTTGCATGCCCTAGGAGATCACACCCAGGTCTTTATTCATCTTTGTTTTCGTTCTTTTTGTTTTTTTGCAGCGGTGGGAGGCTTGTAGGGGAGGGACTCTTGATCTTGAACATTTCTGAGACCTTCCCAGGGATCACAAAATGTAAGACAGGGCGGAAGGAATAGCAGATGCTTTCCAAACCCTAGCTGTGTGTTTGGCTAACCTATTTGCTCCTGACATAATTTTAAAAGTCTTAGCTCAAGGTGGGGGTGAGGGGTGTCAGCAGCACCCCCACCCCCACCCCCACCCCCGGGCCGTTCTCCAGGCTGCAGGCCTCTATCCCTAGCACCTCCACCCCCAGCTACTCGAGTGAACTTGAAAGAGGCCGCGGTGCAAATAAAAGTCACAGATGGTGACGCCAGGGAGAGGCGCACCTCCTTGCACAACCAGCCTTTGTAAATGAGTGGTTTAGGCGACCGAGAGCGGTTTCTCTCAATAAATTCTCAGCCACCGAAACTCCCGAGGCCGGCCTCCCAGAGGGAGGGAGGAGTGGGGGTGCGGGGGGCCGGGCGTGGGGATGGGGTCCAGCTGGGGATGGGGTCCAGCAGGCCCAGCCCACGGGGCACCCCTCCCGCTGAGCAGGGTCGCATAACGAGGGCAGCCCCGTCCATGCATCCTCCCGCCGGAGAAGGGTGACCTGGGTCCGAGCAGCCCGGGCGTGGACAGGCCCCGCTCCCGCCGAGGCGTGGCCCACCCGACCCTCCGGCAGCCCGGGCTCCCCAAGACGCGGGGTGGCGCCCCACCCGCCAGCCTTCGCCGCGGCCCTGGGTTCTTGCCCTCCTGCCAGGCCCCTCAACGCTACCTCCTCCTCGGCGCCCATCACCCCCGCCCCCTCGAGGTCCCCCATCTCCCGACCCTCCCGGCCGAGCCCCCACCGCACCCCTTCCTCGCCCCCGCGCCCCCGCCGCGGCCCGACCGGCCGGCGCACCATACCTGGCGGCGCCTGCCGCTCGCCCTCGGCCATCTTCCTCCGCCAGGAGCCGGCCCCGACGCCCGCAGCCCGCACCTGGCACTCCGCACCCACCCCTCCCTGCCCCGCGCTCAGAGCTTTTGGGGAGCAATGCGCGCCGGCCGGCTACCACCGACAGCCGAGAATTACAGTCACCCCCGCGGAGACAACCGCCATGTCGGTGCGGGGCGCTCAGGGAGCATGCCCAGCAACGGCCGGCTCCGGCGGCGGCGCAGCCCGGGAGGCGGCGGCCATGTCGGCGCGGGGCGCCCGGAGCATGCGCACCAACGGCCGGCTCGCCTCCCGGCGCGACAACCGCCCGCCCGGCCCTGGGAGCGCGGTGGCCATGCTTTTGCGGGGCGGGCGGAGGCCGGCGCGGCGGCCATGCTTTTGCGGGGCGGTCCCCACCTGTCACCTTCGTGCGTGGCCCTGCCCCTGCCCCTGCCCCGAGGGACACTGGAAGACATTGCCCTGTCAGCATGGCTGTGCTTCCCTACCACTCGGAGGGCAACGCTCCAGGACACCGAGCGGACTGACGGGGGTGGCACCACTGCCTCCAAAGGAGGGGACGGCAACCGGGGTGGGGAAGGAGCGCGCAGGACCCCCCTCCCGGGTCCAGCGCCTCGGGGCGTCCCCCCCGACTGCTGACCACGCCCCGCCCCGCCCCGCGCTCTGGTCCCGCCCCGCGCTCTGGCTCCGCCCCTCCCCGCCCCACGCTCCGGCCCCCCCTCGCGCGCTCTGGCCCCGCCCCGCCCCGCGCTCTGGCCCCGCCCCGCCCCGCGCGCTGGCTCCGCCCCGCCCCGCCCCGCTCCACGCTCCGGCCCCCCCCGCGCGCTCTGGCCCCGCCCCGCCCCGCGCTCTGGCCCCGCCCCGCGCTCTGGCTCCGCCCCGCCCCGCCCCGCCCCACGCTCCGGCCCCCCCCGCGCGCTCTGGCCCCGCCCCGCCCCGCGCTCTGGCCCCGCCCCGCGCTCGCGACCAGCCTCTCGGGCTCGCAACTGGCGGTTGACCGCGCCTGGAGCCCTCCTCCCCCGCCGCCAGCCCGCCACCCGCCCGGCCCGGTGGGTGGGCGCGGGGCTGCCCGGACCGCTGGCGGCGGTGACTCGGCGACCTTGGCCCGGAGGCCCTAGCGGGACCCAGCCACTGCGGCGGCGGCGGCGCGGACTTTGCCCGGCGGCGGACTGTGAGCCCGCGGGCCGGCCGCGGAGATGTTGGCATTCGCCGTCAGGACCGTGGTGAGTGCGGCCGGGAGCCCGGCCTGGCGGGGCTTGGCGGGCCCCGGACGGCGCGGGCGGGCCGGGCCAGCCCTGCAGCTGCGCCCGAATGGGGAACCGGGTCCACAGGCTGTCGGAGGCCCCGTCGGCCTGGCCTGCAGCGCGGGGGTGGGATCGGCGGGTGGGCTTCCCCGGGTTGGCCGCGGACGAGACCGAGGTTCAAGGTCAGAGGCTGGGTGGAACCCAGGTCCTGTAGCGCTACATTTCAACGACCCGGGGAAGAAGTGGCACCTGGCTCCAGGCAGCACCCCCACCCTTAGACCTGGAGACCTGGGGCAGGCTGGCATGGAGTCTGTCACTGTTGTTCTCTGACTCACACACCCTTTGCACGCTCAGCCCAAGCCGGCTGTGCCCAGGCCAGAGCCACTTCTCCAACCCCATCCAGCTGGTCAGCTTCCTTGGACGTCTCAAATGGTCCCCGGGGGTTGTCTGTAGCCAGAGAAACTCACGTGGAGGCATCAAACTGGGCTGCCCAGAAAGTCCCGAGAGCTGGCAGGAGGTGGCAGGTGGCAGCCCCATGCCCTCCCTCTCCGCCAGGCCCTCCCCGGCCTGTCCACACAGACCCCCCAGTCCTCCCCAGTGGGCAGCCCGGAGCAAGACGCACCAGTACCCTGATTCGGATTCCTTTACTCTCTAATCCAAGCCTATCTTTGTTTGCATCTCCCTCTCTTTGCCAAGATCATTCAAACAGACATGCCAGGCCCAGAGAACTGACAGTCCCGTCCACTGGCTCCTGGCCTAGAGGCTCTTCCAGGACCTCAGGGCTCCACCTCACTCTTGCCACCTGAGCTGTGTCCCCATCCCTCAAACAGCCTCTGGGTCACCCTCCGGGACCTACTGGGTGATCTGCTGCTTTACTGCTGGAGAAACTGAGGCGAGGAGAGACTTGGCCAGAATCCCCTCGACCTGGCGACTCACATCTAGTCCAACCCCAGAGCCAGCGTCCTTTGGTTTGTTTTCAACGCCTAAAGTCCCCCACTCTTGGCCCCCAGCCGAGGAGCAACAACTCGAGAGAACCAGGCTTCCGTGGGAGGGTGGCCTAGAAGGACTCCCGAGGGGGAAGCAGGATGGGCAGGGCTCCAGTGGCCACAGTCCACTCTGCTCTCTAGTACCCCGATTTCAGGGCTGTGGTATACTTAGCAGCTCATCCGTTTCTGCCCTCCAGCCAAGTGTTCCTTCATCAGACAGACCTACAGATTCTAGCAGGTGGATTTTTTAATACCTCTTGGCCCGTCTCCCTGGCTCTGGGCCCACCCAGAGAAGAAAGGAGGAGGTTTTCCAGGGTTACTCCTACTCCAGTGCCCACCCCCGGCCCTCTCACCTGCTCCCTATCCCCCCACTTCTGGAAGCTAGGGCTGCGGCCATAGCCACAATCCCAGATGCCACCACAGCCACCACAGCCATCACCACTGCCACCTCTGCCTCCCGCCCCTCCCTCCCCCCCTGAATCTTGGCTCTTGTCTTCTCGTTCCAGCCCAGGCAAGTGGCTGCCTCTTGCTAGGTTCCGCTCGCCCACTGGGTAGCACAGTTAGGCTTAGGCATCCAGCCCAAGGCAGACAGACAGGGCTCAGAACCTCAGTCCTGCCATGGAGGACGGGCAGCAGAAAGAGAAGGTACGGAACAGAGCCTCTGCCTCTTGCCTGCCTCCTGCCGCCAATAGCCCCAGACCCTCCTGTCTCTCTCTCTCTCTCTGCCGGACTCTCTCTCTCTGCCAACTCTCACCCTCCTTGCCAGGCCACTCAGCTCTTTCTTGTCCCAGCACTGCCTCCATGCCACCCCCATCCCATCCCACAGACAGGGGAAAACCTGTGGCTTCCCCCTCATCCAAAAGTGCGTAATCATCTGGCTCTCTCTGATTTTTTCTTCTTCCCTGTTTCTCAGCCTGGCAGGGTGGGAGAAAAGGAGGTGGGGAGCTCTGGGAGGGGGCCGTCACCTCACTGCTGGCTGGCTCATAATCCCCAAGTGAGAAAGGCGGGGCCCTGTGCATTCAGACAGGTGAGAGGTCCCTCTGACCTCTGCCACCCCCAGGAGGTGCCACTCATCCTGACTTGGTTCCCCGGAGCCTTGGCAAGATCAGTGGCCACACCCCACCTGCCGTGTCCACACCTGCATCTCCAAGCCTCAGAGAGATGGAGACGCCTATAGCTCGAGGGCTGGGAAGCCAGGGCTGGCACCACCCAAGAGGCTGTCTCTGATCCCAGAGAGGGGCACTTAAGTGCTCAGGACGGCAGCTTGGGATTACCAGGGCCTCCCAGAGCTGGTGGGAGAATGAGCAGGATGTTCTGCTGCCTGCAGGTGAAGCCGCTGGGCTTCCTCAAGCCCTCCTCCCTGACGAAGGTCGCCAGCCGCTTCAAGGCACACCAGGAGTCTCTGCCACGGCTGCCCGTGCCCCCGCTCCAGCAGACCCTGGACCATTACCTGAAGACCCTGCAGCCCATCGTGAGCGAGGAGGAATGGGCCCACACCAAGAAGCTGGTGGAAGAGTTTCAGGCTGCAGGGGGTGTGGGAGAGCGCCTGCAGAAGGGGCTGGAGCGCAGGGCCAAGAAGATGGAGAACTGGGTGAGTAATAACCGACCCCCCAGACCCACGAGGGCTGAAGGGAACAGGGCCCCCCGAGGCCGTGGGTTGTGTGAGAGTCCTCCAGTGAGGCCTGCCCCGGCCGCACTCAGACGCTTCCAACACCAGCCGCTCTGGTGCGTTCGCTGGCGCCACAGTTTCATGGGAACTTGCTCTGTGCCTGGCACTAGGCAGAGTGCTGGGTGAGCAAGAAAGAGACAGTTGATGCCTTGAAGAGCTGACATCCAAGCGGGAAGGGGAGAGGGGTGATTAAACAAGACACGAGTGGCCAAGGTCATTCCCGTAGAAATGACAAAGGCTGATGAGCCCTGGCCGGTGTGCTCAGTCGGTTGAGCACCAAGAGGTCACTGGTTCAATTCCCAGTTCTCTCTCTCCTTCTCTTTCTCTCTCAAATCAATGAGAACATTTTTTAATTTTTTTAAAAGGGTGATGAGAAAGAGGGGTGGAGAATGGCAGCGTCTTTATTCTGAGTGGTAGGGAAGGCAGGGAGGAGGTGGTGTGGCGTCTGTGACAGACGGAGTAGCACCAGCAAAGGCAGGTGAATCCAGGAACAGACGGAGGCTGGAGTGGAGTGCCAGGGTGGGAGGGAGGGCTGCAAGCAGAAGGAACTTGGACTTGAGCTCAGTGGGAAGAGGCTGCGGGCTGGCTTCAAGCAGGGGTCTGTGTCTCAGTCGGTCACGCAGGCGCGCTCACCTTGTGGAAATGTGTGTACGTTGATGCTCCATGCGCTCTTCTGTATGCATCTTATACCTTAACCCAAAGTGTAGCATGACCGCCCTGGCGCTGGGAGGGAAGAAGAGTGGGAGCAGGAGGCGGTGGGAGGGCTGGTGCCGTCACCCCGAAGGAGATGCTGGCAGGGAGAGGGTGGGAAGTCATTAGGTCCAGAGTATGTCTTGGTGCCAGTGGTACTTGTTGATTGGGCTGCTGGGAGGGGGGACAGTCCTGACCTAAAGCAACTATGTGGGGGGGCGGGGAGGAGGAGGACTTCCGGAGAAAGGGATGATGAGGGAGAGGCAGGTTTGTAGGAGAGCCACAGAAAGCGCCATAAGGAGGAGGTGCTCTGAGGGGTGCAGGTGGAAGCGGGGGCTGCACAGAGGAGGCAGGAGTCTTCAGCTGGTGGGTGGCTGTCCTGAGCCTGGGCAGCTCAGGGCCTTGGACTCCGGAATCAGGAGCTGAGAGTCTGGGGCCCAGCGGTGTGTAACTTTCTTTTTACCCTGCAGTTCCTCCAAACCCCCGCTGGCATTCTGTGCAACCTGAGCACGTCACACCCCTCGCCCCTTGCCAAGGGCCCGAGGCTAATGGCCTGGTGCCACAGGCGGCCGTTTCCCAGGGGGAGTCTGGTCAAGAGGCACATCCTGCCCGCTGCTCTTGGGGATGGGGCGAGGCAGCACAGCGGGGGCGGCCTCCAGGGAGGAAAGGACCCGCCCAGAGAGGCGCACTGGGCAGGCCCCTGGAAGGGGTGTAGGGCGGACAGTGTTGCAGTCAAGCACGTAAGGCTCAAGGGTGACAGTCCCCTGGGAGCCGATGGCCCCAGGACGGGAGCCTTCACCATGTCTATGTAGGTCCCCAGAGGGGCAATGCTCACCCACTAGTGCAGCCCACGTTGTGTCACTAGTGCATCGATTTATCCTCAGTGGCTTCCCCAGATTGCCTGACCTTGAGATCCAAGGAGTGTCCACTGCCCAGTCTGACACCAACAAAACTGAGGCCACTGGGCACCAGGATCTCCAGTTTGACATTGAACCCTGGGCCCCTGCTTTCCTGGAGAATGCCCACTGGGATGAGCAGAAACTCATTCATGGACTTCCTTTTCCTATATTTTTCTCTATTCTTTTCTATCTATCAGACATACATTTTTACTATTTCTAAAAGTAGTAAAAATCATTGACCAAAATTTGTAAGATGATGAAACATGATTCAGCGTGGCTCAGTGGTTGAGCGTCGACCTATGAACCGGGAGGTCATGGTTCAATTCCTGGTCAGGGCACATGCCTGGATCGCAGGCTCGATCCCCAGTGTGGGGCGTGTAGGAGGCAGCCGATCGATGATTCTCTCTGTCATTGATATTTCCCTCTCTCTCTCTCTCTCTCTCTCTCTCCCTTCCTCTCTGAAATCAATAACAATATATTTTTAAAGAGAAAGAAACACGGCTCACAGCTCTGCCTCTTTCCCCCGCCCCAGGCCTCCTGCCGGCCTTTCCTCCCGCATCTTCTCCTTGGCCGGCTCTGATTTCTCCTGCTGACGGGCTCCGGCTCAGGGGAGACGGTGGGACGCTGCTGGTGGGTGTGGGAGCGGGGGTTCTGGGCCTGAATATTCGCTTTAAGAACCTGTGCTCAGAGTGGGCAAGTCCCCTCGCCCTGGGTGAAGGGTCACCGAGTCCCCCCCACCCCTCCTGACAGGTTCTGGTCCTTTCCCCAGCTGTCCGAGTGGTGGCTCAAGACAGCCTACCTCCAGTTCCGCCAGCCCCTGGTCATCTACTCCAGCCCCGGCCTCGTGCTGCCCAGGCAGGACTTTGTGGATCTGCAGGGACAACTCCGGTGAGTGGCTGCGGCTGGGGCAGGGCCAGGAGGGGCGGGGCCAGGCTCCTGGGCATTTCCAAGGCCCCGAGGACCACTTCCTCCAGGAGGTTGGAGGGGCCCCAGTCCTGCTCATTATCTTTCATCCCCACACATACCTGATGAAGTAGGGAGTGTCATTCCTCCTTTACAGAGGGGGAAACTGAGGCTCAGAGCAGGGAGGGGCCTGCCCAAGATCACCTTTCAGTATTGGCTGAGCTGGGACAGGGAGCAGGGTCTTCCCGGCTCCAAAGCTTCATAGCTGTTCACCACCACACCGTGGACTGTGTCCCCTCCCTGTCCCTAAACCTGGGGCCACCCCCCACCCCAGTTCTGGCACTTCACCCCTCCTTCCCTCTCGCCTCTGGCCACAGGGACGACCTTTGTACACAGTCCCCTTTTCCACATTCGGCCATGTCACTTGCCCTGGCCTCTGTTCCAGTCCGACCAGAGATAAAAATACCAGTGACAAGCATCTCCTGCCCAAGCACCAGCCGCTGTGGCCACCACCTGCTTCTCTTAAAGGCACCAGGGCACCCGGGAAGGTCTGGGGGTTCAGGCCCAGGAACTCCAGATGGTGGCCCCCATATTGGGGGAGCCCAGGCGCTGGACATGGTTGGTGTAGCCCGCACAGTTCAGGGAGGAAGGCCAGTAGGAGAGGTGGCCTGGGAGACACAGAGGCCCAGAGCAGGTAGAGACCTAGGGGAGGGGCCACCTCGAGCCACTGCCCTCCCATGCACACTCCTGCTCCCCTGGGGTCCCGGGTCCCTCCGTAGCTGGTTCCTGAGGGAAGAGTGTCCTCCTTCCAGACTCCCAACTGTGGTTTGGGGCTCGAGCCCTGTGGGTGGAACCCAGCCACGATCAGGCTGCTGTGCCTCGGCACCTAAATCTTGCCGGCACTGGGCCAGCAGTTCTCCCTGAGCCCTCGCATCTCCCTCTAGAGGTTGCGAGAAAGCAGGCTCAGAAGGGCCAGCTGGAACTGGAACACAGACCCACTGCTTCAGCTTCTGCAAGCCCTGTGCGAGGGTGAAGCAATCGGTGGCTCCCTTCACCCCGCAGGCGTCCCTGACCTGGGACTGTCCTCAGGGCGTCCACACCTCTGCTGATCTCTGATTGTTCCCTCTAGGTTTGCTGCCAAATTCATCGAGGGTGTGCTGGATTTCAAGGCCATGGTTGACAAGTGAGCAGTCCAGCCCGCCCCTACCCTGCCCGCCTAATTGACAGTCACTCCAGCTTGACCCAAGCCCTGGGGTGCTGGGCGGGCCAGAGCTCAGTTGCTCTCACTTCCTGTTGGCCCCGCCTCGGTGGGGAATGGGGAGACAGAGCCTCGGGATTGGGATGCCTGGGTTCTGCTCCAGCTGCTGGGACTTCCTCCTGGTGACCCTGTCCCGAGAGGCCCCGCAACTGGCGTTCCAGCCAAACAGGCCCCGGAGGTCATCGCCCCCTTGGCAAACTAAAGCCCAGAGAGGGGAAGGGAGTTTCCAGGGTGACTCACGGCAGGCCTCCTGCCCCAGCCCAGCAAGCAGCCCTGCGTAGGTCCACGGGAAGTAGGGACACGAGGAGGGCAGCCGGCCACTGCTGTAAACCCTGACTCAGCTCTGCCCAGCCCCCAGCCGCTCCCTCCTCCCTTCTCCCTTTGTACTTGCCCAGCGGCCCCTCACTGTCCCCCTGCCCCACAGCGAGACCCTTCCCGTGGAGTACCTGGGCGGGAAGCCGCTGTGCATGAACCAGTACTATCAGATCCTGTCCTCCTGCCGCGTGCCAGGCCCCAAGCAGGACTCGGTCATCAACTTCAGCAAGACCAAGAAGCCGCCCATGCACATCACAGTGGTGCACAACTACCAGGTGGGTGGGCCCATGTGCAGGGGAGGAGGGGCAGGGCCCCCACACATGCCCCTGAGCCCCAGGAACAGGCATGCTCTGGGCATCTCCACTGGGCGCCCAGCTAGGCTCCAGCCTCAGGGACGCCAAGAGGGGCCTTGGCCTGCCCCGCCTGGGGAGAACAATGCGGGGACATCCTCCTTCGCCCTCACCCTTGGCCTGACCGTCCCCTCAGCTGGGCCAGGACAGCACTCACTGTGGCCTCTGGGCTGCCCGGGCCAGGAGGCGGTGGGGATGGGACGTGACTGTGGGGTCTGAGGTCGTCACCAGCCCCCTCCCCGCCCGCCTGCACCCGGACAGTTCTTTGAGCTGGACGTGTACCACAGTGACGGGACGCCCCTCACCTCGGACCAGCTCTTCGTGCAGCTGGAGAAGATCTGGAACTCGTCACTGCAGACCAACAAAGAGCCCGTGGGCATCCTCACCTCCAACCACCGCAACTCCTGGGCCAAGGCCTACAACACCCTCATCAAAGGTGCCCGCGGTGGGGGGGCCAGGCCCGCAGCCCAGGCTCTGCCCACACCAGGCCCAGGCGGCAGCTTCTCACTGAGTCCGCTCAGCTCAGGAAACAGCTGGATCAGATTTGTTTCCCCATATTAAGGAGCAAGTGGGATGAGAGTCTAAGTCCCCTGGCTGAGGAGCCCCGTCTGCTGTCACAGTCCCCCCAAACCCCGTGTTGAGTCAGGGACCTGGGCGGGATCTGCCTCTGTTTCTGAAGTGGGCCAGGCACTGGGCGCTCCTCACAGGGGCTGCGGGGCTGCAGGGCCCTGTTGAGTGTGAATCTCTGAAGCCCGTCCCAGCACTCCGGAACGTTCTGGAGGCCCGGCTCCCCCAGGCCTGACACCCCCGTTTTGTGCCCCCTCCGCCATGTGGCCTGCAGACAAGGTGAACCGGGAGTCGGTGCGCTCCATCCAGAAGAGCATCTTCACCGTGTGCCTGGACGCAGTCATACCTCGGGTCTCAGAAGACATGTACCGCAGCCAGGTGGCCGGCCAGATGCTGCACGGGGGCGGCAGCAAGCTCAACAGCGGCAACCGCTGGTTCGACAAGACGCTGCAGGTGAGGACCCGCAGCCCCCCAGGCACACACCCACACTCGGTCCCCTGCAGCCTCGGGACTTCCTGTCCCGCGCGTCCTGGCCTCCTGGCTGGTAAACAGATGGAAGTCATCGAGGCTGTAATTACCCAGCAGTCAGCCTGTCATTACTGGTCCTGGCCCAGAAACTGCTGTCACCCCAACACCCCCTGCAGCACCTCAGAGGCCAGGCACAGAGGCACAGTTTGGCCATGACTTTCCCTCTCTGCACCTGTAAAATGGGGCTGTGGGAGGACTCCCGGGTAGAAGAGTTACGGGGACTCAGCGAGGTGTACCAGCATGGGGTGGCCTAGGGGGGTCCACGGACCCCGATGGGTGTTAGCTCTTATTAATAATTGTAATAAGTCAGTGTAACTCCTGAGGTGGCTTCCTCTGGGACCAACCAAAGAGGGGCTCCAGGGACGGGTTCACAGGCCCCCTCCCCCTCCACAGTTCATCGTGGCAGAAGATGGCTCCTGTGGGCTCGTTTACGAGCACGCAGCAGCAGAGGGGCCGCCCATCATCTCCCTCGTGGACCACGTCATCGAGTACACGTGAGTGTGGTTCCCCAGCCTCCCCCCGTCTCCCCAGGCCCTGGTGACGGTGACACACGGTGACAGACTGCCCTGTGGGGGATGGCATTTCCTTAGGCCTGGGAATCTGTTTCTTCCAAGGAAGCCAGAGGAGGCATGGGTTTGCATTCTGGCTCTGCCACTTCCCAGCTGCATGGCCTTGGACAAGTCCCGTCCCCTCTCCAGGCCTCCTCCTTTGGCCACCTGAAAGCTGGAGGTGACTTCAGGAGAACTCCAAGCGTCTCTCTGGGCTGGCCCTCTCCAGCTTTAGGGATCCATCCTCCCCACCCAACCCCAAGGATGGGCCCAGGCTCCCCCAGCACCAGCATGAGCCCGAGCCCATGTCCCCACAGGAAGAAGGCTGAGGTCGTGCGGTCTCCCATGGTACCCCTGCCCATGCCCAAGAAGCTGCGGTTCAACATCACCCCCGAAATCAAGAACGACATTGAGAAGGCCAAGCAGAATCTTAGCATGTGAGCGCCGGGCGCTGGGTGGGGGCCAGGCCCCTGGAGTCTGGCAGGCTTTTGTTCCAGGTCTGTCACGGAACCCAGCTGGTTCTGAGACCTCTCGTGGGGGTTGGCAGGGCTGCCAGGTGCCTGCTCCTCACCTGCCTTGTCCCCAACCCCCAGCATGATCCAGGACCTGGACATGATTGTGACCGTGTTCCACCACTTCGGGAAGGACTTCCCCAAGTCAGAGAAGCTGAGCCCTGACGCCTTCATCCAGATGGCGCTGCAGCTGGCCTACTACAGGTGAGCCCCCTGCCCGCCACGAAGGCAGGTGGAGACCTGGGGGCAGAGGTGGGATGTGCTCAGCCCCGTTTCCACCCAGGGTCTACGGGCAGGCATGTGCCACGTACGAAAGCGCCTCCCTGCGCATGTTTCACCTGGGCCGTACTGACACCATCCGCTCAGCGTCCACGGAATCACTGACCTTTGTCAAAGCCATGGATGACTCCAATGTGACGGTGAGAGGTTCAGGGTGAGGGTGGGTGAGCTGGGCTTGAGCCATCTCCCTCCCCGTTCACTCTGTCAACACACATTGATTGAGCACCTACTGTGTTCCAGCCCTGTGGTGGGCACTGGGAATATAAGAGAAGGTAGAGCTATGGATTTAGCTCTGAGCTTCCTGGCAGCCCAAGAGAAAAGGGAGCTTTCATTCACTCACTCATCAGCAGTGAGCATCTGCCCTAGAGTGATGGTAGCTCCACTTCCTCTTCTCAGAATGTAGTACTGGTGGGAGCGGGCTCCTGAGATGGGGCAGGAACAGGGAAGGGACAGTGCTTCAGCTCCCTCACCTCTCCCCACAGGAGCATCAGAAGGTGGAGCTGCTGCGGAAGGCCGTGGACGCCCACCGCGCCTACACCAACCGGGTGAGTGAGCCCTATGAGCTTGGCATCTCCCACCTGCCTGTCCACTCCTGCAGCAAACAGCTGCTCACTCTCAGCTTGAGCGACCCCTCCCCTGAGCCTGGGGCACCTGGAGCAAGGCTGTACATCCCCATTTTAAAGTTGGAGACACTGAGGCGGGCCTAGTGACTGCCCTGGCCCCAGGTTCCAGGTGAGCTTCTGGATCTTGTGTCATGGAGCCAGGATGCTGAGGGCACACACAACGGCCGACAGCAGGGTTCCGCCATGTGACAGCTCAGGCTGCAGTTGGCAGCGGGAAGCCTGGATTCCCATGCTGGCCCAGCCTCTGAGCACCTGTGTGCCAGGCTCTGCCCATGTTACACACAGATGTCCCTTTAGGTCTCACAGCCACCCTACAGGGGCGTTCAGTGACCGTCCCCATTTTACAGATGAAGGCACTGAGGTTCCAAGATGTATATGTGCCAACGTCCCAGAGCCAGGAGGGGCTAAGCCACCCAGCTCCAGGCCTGTGCTCTTAAATCCTGCCTCCCTGGCAGACCGTTGGGCCTCAGTTTCCCCATCTCTGGTCTCAGGGGTCTGAGGGGCCAGTGGACGGAAGAGGTGTTGCTGCCACAGGCTTCTGCGGAGGGCAGCAGCGCCCTATGGTCCCGCAGCCCCGCTCCTGACAAAGGTCCCCTCTGCAGGCCATCCGCGGGGAGGCCTTGGACCGGCACCTGCTGGGCCTGAAGCTGCAGGCCATCGAGGACCTGGTGAGCATGCCTGACATCTTCATGGACACCTCCTACGCCATCGCCATGCACTTCAACCTCTCCACTAGCCAGGTGGGCCACTGCCCGAGCCCCCGGGACCCCTGCCCTCTGGGTCCCTGCCACTGCCCTGGGTGCTCTGGGGTGGGGTGGGGTGGAACAGAACCCACCGGAGCTGGAGCAGAAAGGCTGCACTGACGAGAGCCAAGGTCTAGATTAGAACGTGGTCAGACCTCGGTGGTGGTGTGGCCCACACAGGCCCCCAGAGGCCACTGCGAAGCGGCTGAGTTCTGGCAGAGGGGCCGGGTCAGGGGTTCACTACAGCTCAGGCTGAGGAGTTGGGGACCACCCAGGGGAGAATCAGCTTCATTCATTCACGGTCAGACACGAAGGAAGGGACGTGTGCTCCGTGCCAGCCTGTGCTGGGTACTGGGGCACAGCAGGGACTGCACCATCCCTCCCCAGGGGCTCTCAGTGTAGGCTGGCAGCACAGGAAGTGCTAGGGGTCAGGGAAGTCCCGAGGAGGGAGCAGTAGAGGAGGCCCCCTGGAGGGTGACACCGGAACTGCACACGGAAGGACAGAGGGATCACCTGTCCGAAGGAGAAGAGGAAAGGTGTCAGGCAGAGCACGGCAGGAGCAGCCATGGGAAGGCAGGCTGGTGCACTGAGGAGCTGGAGGGACCTGTGCGTGGGGCGAGTGCCTGAGTCCTGTGCCACCCCCAGGTCCCCTCCAAGACAGACTGTGTCATGTTCTTTGGGCCTGTGGTCCCAGACGGCTATGGCGTATGCTATAACCCCATGGAGTCGCACATCAACTTCTCGGTGTCGGCCTACAACAGCTGTGCCGAGACCAACGCTGCCCGCATGGCGCACTACCTGGAGAAGGCGCTCCTGGACATGCGCGAGCTGCTGCAGAGCCACCCCCGGGCCAAGCTCTGAGCCGTGCCCCCCCTGCCCCTGCCACAGCCAAACCACTTCAGATGGGCCCCCCACCAGGGCTCCCCTTTGTCCCTCTCCCCCTGGGCCCCGCAGATCTGACCAAGCCAGGGTGGACTCCCCCAGGGCCCGCAGGCCCACGCCCAGTGCCTTCCACGGGCCATCCCCAGCTTCATGGGCTGTGCTCAGAGGCTGAGCAGGACGGAGGCCCAGGCACCCCATGTATCGCCCAGAGCAGCCTTCCTCTGGGAAAGGAACCGGTCAACTCCATCCCCACCAGTGAGCCTGGGAAGTCCTCTGACAGCTCAGCTCCGGCCAGTCCCTGCCATCTGGGCTGATCCGTACTCCAATTCTCAAAGGCCTGAAGACAGGACTATCTGGAGTGGGGGACTCCAGGCCTCCCCATGGCTGAGGCCAGGGTGCGAGGCGGACTGGGGCCGGGGCATCTCCCACAGGACTGCCGTACTCTTTTGGAGAATATGGCTGAACAATGTTCCTGGTTGTATAATAGTATCACGCGAGGTAATTAATAAAGGGAAAATGTCTTGGTGAAGAGGCGTTCCAGCTGCGGAGGCAGGCAGGTGGGGGGACACCGGGCCTCCTCCCGGCTTTCCCTGCCTGGGAGCTGGTGTCCAAGCAGCCATGGCCCCAGGGACTCCGAGGAGCCAAGAGGTGTCCTCAGGCACCAGATTGCAGACCCCATTCTCAGACAACTCCCACCTGCCCGGAACTCGGGCCTCTCCAGTACCGTGGGCATATGGTGGGGACAGTTCTCCCAGGGAAGTAGGACCCTGCAGGCCCGGGTCTGGTGGGCCAGGTGTGGCCGACACCAGGGCCTAAGGCCTCATCCTGCAGCCCCCACTGAGCCCAACAGGAGTGATGCCCCAGATCACACGACCACCTGATCAGAACCCTAAACCCGCCTGTCCCCAACCCCAGGCACCTGGCAGAAGCTGGGTGTCTTGCCAAAGTCAGTCTCTCACTCCAGGGGACACTCTGGCCCCGAGGCACGTGAAACCAGAGCAGACGCGGGCGCAGGCGGGAGAGCCGATGGAGCCTCTCAGAGGGCCTTCTTGGCCTGGCTGACCCAGGACAGTGACAGGATGGGGCCCGTGGTTTTCTCCTTTTTTCAGATGAGAAAACAGGCACAGAGAGGTTAGTCATCAGGCCACTGAACAGCAGAACAGAGTCCCAGAAGCCATACCTCAGGTCAGGGTATCGGGAGCCCCTGTAGCCAAGCCCCCAGCCCCACATCACACCCGCCCAGATGACCAGGGCAGGGGTGGAGAAGGGGAGGTCATGGGTGGACACGGGCCTGGAAGGCACAGGAAGGTGCTGGCTGGACTAGGGCACTGAGTCGAACTGACCCGTGTTGGGCCTGCTGGTCCCACCAAATCTCCCACAGCCACAAGGTGGGGACTCGGTGCCCTTCCTCTCCAGTGCGGGTGAGAGGGTGTGCCACCTGCCCGAAGCCCCAGAGAGCAGGAGGCGGAACCCACACAATGGGGGAGTGGGTGTTGCCCTGGGCCTGGCCATTTCTCAACCTCCCCCTCCCCCCCCCCCCCCCCCAGCAAGGCCGGCAGGGTGGAGTGATGCCAGGAGGAGGGGGTAGGGTCCACGAATGCCCTTTCCTGGGCTGGAGTGGGAAGACCAGGAAAAGACCATGACAGTGCACAGCCTGCTGTCCTCATCTGTACAGTGGGGGTGATGCTGCTCCCTCTGGGGGCTCCTGGGAGCCCCAGGAAGTAGGGGCCCACAGCAGGCGTTGGTGAGTGCTGGGGGAGTAGTACTAGGGTGGGGCTGCTGGGGGAGGCGGGCAGAGTGAGCCAGGCCATGGGCACTGCACAGACACCTGCAACTCCCACAACTCAAGTTCTAAGAACCACAGGTCTGAACATAAGGCAGGGTTTCCCCAAACTCTCCTTCAGAAGTGAGGGCATGCCCTTGCCCTTGGGTGTGACAGGTCTCGTATGAAGGCTTACTCAGCTCCTTAGCGCCGAAAGTCCACGGGGAAAGGCACAGTTAGCACCCGAAACAAACCATCAGTGTGAGGTGCCGGCCTAGAGGTCCCTGGTGGCACGTGGGGAGGGAAAGGCAAGGAAATGAAGACCTTTAGCAACTACTCCCGAGGATGTGACTCTTGGGAGTGCTGGGTGTGGGGCAAGCAGGTGCTTAGGGTCTCTGGACACACGGGAAGGAAGGATTGGGGAGATGACACACCTACAGGGTTTTCTTAATCCGCTGTCTCAGCGTGATGCCAGCGGGCACTCGGGGCCTGGGGTAACATTCCCAGGGACCGCATCGCCTGGGAAATCCAGAAAGTGCTGCTGGGCCTCAAACCGCTCAGCCCGTGGACCTGGAGAATCCGGTCAGCTGGCCCAGAGGTGGGCCAGGGACAAGACCCTGATGTCAATGATGCAGATGAAGAACTTGATTTTTTTTTTTATGAGCGAAAAAGAACTGTTCTAAAGTAATATATTTTGTGCAACACATTACTTGAAATGTGAACATGTAATAAACGAATGAATTAAAGATTTGGCTCTTACCTAGATCCCGTTTGTCTATCCAGATTGACATGAACTTGACTTTGGCTCTTCATGGGGAAAGTGCAGTGGCCAGAAGCAAGGGCAGGCCTGTAGCGAAGCCTGCGAAGGGGGTGAGGGCTAGACAGGGGGCCAGAGGCCACGTTGACGGCTGGTGCTTTGTCCGAGACCGGGAGGACGGCACGTGGGACGATGCCCAGGGGTTGGAGGGCGCCTGACCGTGGGGGAGCTTTGCAGCCTCCATGCAGGGAGAGGGGGGACGGGACCCAGAGGGGTTGCGGAGGTGGAGAGTGGACCTTCCAGACCCTTAGGAGCTGGAGCGTGCGAGACGTTGTGACCAACAGGAAAAGAAGTTGGGGGTGTCCATCGAGGTAAAAGCAGTGAGTGCAGCTGGGACTCGGGGGCATTCAGGGCTCCCAGCCCTTTCCTCTCCACTCTGGTCCTGCCCTGTCCTGCAGTTTACTTTTCAACTGAAACCTACCTGTTGAGCTCAGCTTGCTTTTCAGCGATTGGATTTTTCCATTTTGATCCACTTACAAGTCTTGCGGGGTTCACCTTAGAGTTTCTCAGCCCCGCAGACATTTTCAAGTTTGTCTTTTGTGTCTTTAAAACACAACATTTAGCCGTGGCCGGTTTGGCTCAGTGGATAGAGCGTCGGCCTGAGGACTGAAAGGTCCCAGGTTCGATTCCGGTCAAGGGCGTGTACCTTGGTTGCAGGCACATCCCCAGTGGGGGTGTGAGGAGGCAGCTGGTTGATGTTTCTCTCTCATCGATATTTCTGACTCTCTATCCCTCTCCCTTCCTCTCTGTAAAAAATCAATAAAATATATTAAAAAAAAAAACCCACATTTAGTCTGTGGCTGATCTTCCAGCACGAGGCACTGGCAGGCTTGTTTCCGTGACCCGTTTTCCGCTGGTTCTCCACGCGGTGTTGTGTCCTCTTGGCGTCTTTACCTACATGCTCTTCACTGCAACTTAAAAACTACTCATACGGCCGAAACCGGTTTGGCTCAGTGGATAGAGCATCAGCCTGCGGACTGAAGGGTCCCAGGTTCGATTCCGGTCAAGGGCATGTACCTGGGTTGCGGGCACATCCCCAGTAGATGTGCAGGAGGCAGCTGATCGATGTTTCTCTCTCATCGATGTTTCTAACTCTCTCTCTCTCCCTTCCTCTCTGTAAAAAATCAATAAAATATATTTAAAAAAAAAAAAGCTACTCATACGAATGACTGAAGTCTAGGATGGAGGCTCCTTCCTCCAGAGGTTGGTTTGCTTCTGCCTTATATCTCGGGTAAGGTCACGTTTACTGAGCGTCAAGGTTCTGTGGCCCACGGGGGCCCTGACCCACAGCCTTCGAGCTCATGTGGGGACAGAATTCTTTCTGATCCCCCTACTCTAGCGTGTGGCCATTCTGCATCTCAGCGAATCAGGGAAGGATTAGATTCCCATGTTGGCCAGCCCTTGGGATCGACTTCTATCACCTCACTCCCACAAGCCTCTAAAAACCCAGCCGTTTGCAGTCATTTCTTCCAAAGCAAAACCTTCAGCCATGCACACGCAAGAAATACTGGATTAAACACAGAGCAGAGGTGTTACCTGGAGAGGCATACACCCTGTCCCCAGTCCCCCAGGGCTGTCATGGAGGAACGAGGCTGGGAGCAGGTCCAAAGCCAGCCAGGACCACGCAGGGAGGCGACCAGGACCAGAAAGGGGGCACTTCCAGCTCTCCATGGCAGTGAGGTCTCCTCAGTGGGAAATGTCGCAGAGCCATTCACACGGCGGCACTGGGGGCTGGAGGGACTAGATGTCTCAGATGCTTATGGTTTTATGTTCTTATGGTCCTTGCTCCTTGGGGTCACATGTCTCCAGCCTCCTCTCAGGAGCTCAAGTCAACATGTGCTCAAGCTGCCAGAGTTCAGGATTTTATTTTAAAACAATAGTAAACAATTTCATTGATTTTTCTTAAATCAAACCACCTCACACTTGGCTTGTCTCAGGCAAAATGTAAAAAATAAGAAGGAAGGGGGGGGAGGAAAATGTGGGGACTGACCAACCTTCCCTAGAAACAGGCCCCTGGCCCTGGCCTCTGGAATGGCTTTGGGACACGGTCTTCAACAACTGAGAAAGGAAAGCACCGAACATTGTGCTTCAGCAGCAGATTACGAACCTCCACAAAGAAAGGGAGGGGGGTTCGAACACAGGTCCCGAGCAGCCTGGTTCAGTTCTAGAAACTTCCAAGAGTCTGGAAGCATGTCCACTCCACAACTCCACTTCACAGAGACGGAGAGATCAAGTCCCTTGAGGAGGAGCCGTCCTCTGAGCTGGACAGTGGGGCTCTGTGCCACACCCCAAAAGAGGCTCCAGGGTGCCCCGGGCAGTTCCCAGCCTCTCAGAGGGGTCGGGAAGGGTAAGGAATGTTCAGAGCGAAGGGGAGGGAGGGCGCGGATGTCAGGCACCCACGGACCCGCCTCTCACCCCGCTCCGGTTCCTCTGCACTTTGTTCTCGTGGAGATGAAGACTAACCGCTCCCGCTGGCAGGACCAAAAAGAGCTGTAAACAGCTTGGGTTTGCTCACCCACATGTGCAGGCTCTTTTGTCAGGAAGGGACCACTGTCTGGGGGACAGGGGACCGGAGAAAGCCCTTGTGGTGTAAGGGTCAGTGCGGGGTAGGACACGATAGCAGCCGCCAGACGAGCGCTCTCTCTAGGCCTGGCCCCCCAGACTCGGAAACACTGCATGAGGTTCTGGAATGGCAATGGTGGCAGGGAGGGCACAGGGTGCGCCCCTCTGCTGGGCCCCAGGCCACCTTTCAGGGCAAAGGGCCTGGGCCCTCTGTACTCGGGGCAGCCACCGCAGAGCGGGCTCTTCTGGCCCCATCTCCAACATCCTGCCTGCCGTTAACAAAACCAAAAATAAATAGTGTGTATTTTCACGCCCCTGGATCTCCTGCCCTGCGAGCACAGGTGCCAGGCCTCCTCCTCTACCCACACCCCAGCGCCCACACCAGCGC